CAGGGCACATGCCTGGGTTGCAGGCCAGGTCCCCTGTTGGGAGCTTGTGAGAGGCAACCAACTGCATGCCAGTGTTTCTCCCCCTCTCTTTCTCCCTCCCTTCTTATCTCTCTTTAAAAATAAACAAAATTTAAAAAACACACCTTGTTATATTGTGCTAATAGTCTGCCCACTGGTGGTGAAAGTAATTTGGCAACAGGTAAAAATGCTCACACTGACAGATTCCGTTTCTGAGTCTGTACATTTACAATAATCATAAAGTTTTTACTATGTTGTTGGGTGTTATACCAGGTCCTAGGGACACAGAATGAATAAAACAGACAAAAATACCTGCCCTTATGTGAATGTGTGCTGGTATGTAAGGTTTAAAATGGACACATATACACATGAAATATGTCCAGCCCTGGCCAAGTAGCTCAGTAGGTTAGAGAATTGTCCAGATACATGAAAGTTGTGAGTTTGATCCCTGGTTAGGACACATACAAGAATCAACCAATGAGCCCTGGCTGTTGTAGCTCAGTGGATTGAGTGTGGGCCTGCAAACCAAAGGGTCACTGGTTTGATTCCCAGTCAGGGCACATGCCTGGGTTGCGGGCTATGTCCCCAGTAGGGGTTGAGTGAGAGGCAACCACACATTGATGTTTCTCTCCCTTTCTTTCTCCTTCCCTTCTCCTCTCTCTAAAAATAAATAGATAAAATCTTAAAAAAAAAAATCAACCAATGAATGAATAAGTGGAACAGCAAATTGATGTTTCTTCCCCCACCCCGCCAAGATCAACTTTTTTAAAAAAGAAGGAAAAAGAAAACTTTATTTTAAATGAAATATAAAAAAAAGGAAATATATTCACTGGTGTGAAGTGTCCTGGAAAAAATAAAGCAGGGAGAGTGGCTTGAAAGCAATAGAGCTTAGGATGCAGAGGAGGTTACTATTTCTTAACTCTTGCTCGGAGAAGGCATTATTGGATGGTAACATTCGAATAGACACCAGGAGAAAACGAGGGAATGAGCAGGCAGATGTTTGATGGGAAGAGTGGTCCAGAGGGGAGCACTAGCACACATGTCCTGAGGCAGGTGTGTGTTCTGTGTGCGCTGGGGGCTGAGTGAGCACCAGTGAGAGCAGTGAGGGATAAGGCGAAGGGACTGTCTTGCCTGGCTATGCAGCATTGTAAGGACTTCAGCTTTTACACTGAGTGCTGTGGGAAGGCTCTGGAGGGTTTGGAGCGGAGGAGTTACCAAACTGTTACAGGATCACTCTGCTACTATGTGGAGAATAAATTGTGTGGGTAAGAGCAGGAGACCACTGCAGAAACTAATGCCATAACCCAGACAAGAGAGGACGGCAGCGATGGTGGTATTGGTAGGAATGGGCCAGATCCTAGATACATTTGAAAGATGGGGCTGACAGGACTGGCTAGCATATGGAATATAGGGTACGAGAGGACCGGAGGAGCTAATGACAAACCACAGAGTTTTTGGCCCAAACAACTGGGAAGAAGGCTGTTCACCAGCTGAGATGGAGCTGACTGTGGCTGGGCGCATGCGGGAGTGGAGCTGGGGGTGGACGGACCCCTGGATATCAGTTCTGGACATGTTGACTTTGAGAGGCCATTAGACCATTGAATAGGTATTCGTGACTAGGGTTTAGGGCAAAGGGATGGGCTGAATTGTAAACTTGGGAGTCCTCAGTGTGTGGACACTGTTTAAAGCCACAGGGCTGAAGGGGGTCTCCAGGCCTAGTGTGGACAGAGAAGAACTGAGCCCCGGGGCATGCCATCTGTCGGAGGTCAGGGAGAGGAGGGAGAATCAGCAGTGTTGTCTAAGAAGGGCCGCAGAGTAGTCATCTAGACAAACAAAGTCAGGAAAGATGAGTCTGAGAAGTCACACCAGGTGAGCAATGTGCAGGGCATGGACCTTGACAAGGACAATCTTTTTGCAATGAAGAAGGAACAGGTCAACAGCTGAGCGTGAGGAGGGCAAGTCTGAAGAGAGAGTACCTGGGGAAAAGGGACCCTGGGCTAGGGACAGGATCAGGGAAGGCAGTACTTTGGGGCAGGGGCGGGGGGGCTGTGGTCATGTATTTAAAGGGACTCCCCAGTCATCAAGGATCAAGGGATCATTAGGATTGCATCCTAAGAAATGGTCTGAAATGTTTAAAGAAAAGGCATTCACTGTAGCATTATTTACAATATAAAACTGGGAATGAATGAAATGTACAGAGGGGATGGTTAGATGAAGTGTTCTATAAACACTCAGCCATGGAAAAGTATGTTTATATAGTAAATGCCCTTTATAAAATATTTTCAAAACATACGATCTTAAGAACCAACATGAAGATCATCTTGACAATAAAAAATGAGCAAAAGGAATAGAAACATGTTACATCAGAAGAGAATGCAAATAACCAATGCATATTAATTTAACATTTTCAACTTCTCTTCAAAGAAATGTAATATGAAACAATACTGAAAATTGTTTTCCTATCAAGTTGGCAAAGATTAAAACTGACGACACTTGTGGTGTTGGGAGGGGGTGGGGCAGAGGAGCTCTGACACAGGTGAGAGTGACAGGGTCCCATCCCTCTGGAAGACATGCGGGAATGTTAGCAGTGGCCTTTATACTGCGTATACCTTTGAGTCAGTCAGTCCCCTTCCCGGAATTTCTTTTCTGGAAATTCCCAGAGATATGTGCAAAGATGTGCACTCCAGGAAGCGTTATTTACACCAGCCAGCAAAGAATTATAAACATTGCAGAGATTTCGAAACTGAAAAAATAAAATTAAATGCTCACAGCCTCCCACCATAGCGTGCATGGCTGTCACTGAGCTATTTTTTTCTTGCTCCTTTTCTATCCTCTCTGTAATGACAAAGTATTACATACATGAAACAGAAAAACACCAACTATTTAAAAATAATGTTTATGCCCTGACTGGTGAGGCTCAGTGGACTGAGCACTGGCATGGGAAACGAGGGGTTGCTGGCTGCGGTCCTTGAGGACAGAGGTCAGCACCTGCCTGGGTTGCAGGCCAGGTGCCCAGTTGGGGCATGCGAGAGGCAACTGATGGGTGTTTCTCTCCTATCTCACTGCCCCTCTCTCTAAAAATAAATAAATAAAAATGTTTAAAAAAATAAATAAAAATAATGTTTATAAGCATTGAAATAACATGGGAAAGTACTTAAACATGTTAACTGAGAAAAATAAAAATGAAATTTTAAGCCACAGTGAGATGTTAACTATGTAAAATATATCTGCTCAGGGAATAAACGTCTGGAAGGAAATCCATCAGTGGTTGCCTCTAGGCGATTGAAAAGGGATGACTTCTTCCCCCTACTTCTTTATATTTACCTGTGTTTTCAGTTTTACTACACAGTATATGTTACATTCTTACAGCAACAAAAAATGTGTAAATAATCACATGTGGCCTCCTGAGGATTGAGTTGTGTCATCACGTGTGGTGACCAGCCTGCAGCACCCTGCGGGCTTGCCTTATCCCCACAGCCCTTCTCAAGAACAGGGACCTCGCCTGCTGGTTCTGGTGTTCTCCAGCCCACAGTGGTCAGTGGTCCCAGGGCCCCTGTAATTCAGAGTCGGACCCATCCACCAGACTCAACAGAGCCCGAGGGAGCCGGCCCTTTACCGTGCATGGGTGGGGCTCTGGCGCCCCCGGGTGCCCGGACCTGGAAGTGCATGCGAACGCCCTCAGACTGGGATTCTTTCACTGATGTCCAAGACCCAGTGGGGGACCTGGGGTCTTAGCCCAGGACTGGGAGAGGGGTTTCCTTCTTCTAAGCTGCCCCTTAAGGTAGGGACCCCTCCCTCTCAGACCCCCCCTTTTTTTAGAACCCCTTTTCAAGCCCGGGGGGAATGAGAGGTTTCCAGCATGAACTCAGAGGCTCTTTTTCTTTTATTCATTTTGCTTTTCCCAATGATTTCCCATAATCCCAGACATGCTTTTTCTCACTGACTTGAAAGCAGCCTCAACTCCTCTGCCCCAGGGAATGTAAACTTATCTTTTATCATCACTGTTTTCTGTTGGGGGGCAGGCAGGAGCAGGGGTCTGCAGCCAGAACCTTTGGGACCCTGCAAGTCTACCATCTGTGTGGCCTTGGGCAAATTAACTCTTGAGTCCCTGTTCCCAGGGACAAAGGGGACAATGACTGCCTCTCAAGATAACTGTAGGGCCAAATGGAGTAGTGCAGAGGTGCTCTGGAGTCCACAAAGGGCAGCAGAAAGTTTGGTTACCTTAGCTCATTTTCCTTTCTGGGGGCCCTTCCCTCAGTCCAGGCTCGTCTCCCCCAGATCTCAAGCCACCTTCCTCCTGAGACCCTTGCTCAGCCTGACACCTCCCTTTTTCTACAGAGGTCCCTGTTTTCCGACTCCCACTGAAGTGTAAGTTCCCTGAGGGCAAAGATCATGTTTTTTAAATTGATTTTTTAGAGAGGAAGGGAGAGAAAGAAACACCAATTTATTGTTTCGCTTATTTGTGCATTCCTTACTTGGTTCTTGTACAAACCCTGACTGAGAAGTGAACCTGCAACCTTGGCGTTTTGGGCCAGTGCTCCAACCAACTGAATCACCCAGCCAGGGTTGGACATGTTGTCTTATTCATCCCTGTCCCCAAGCTGAGCACAGAGTGTGGCACAAAGGGACATAGTCTGCATGTCTGCAGTCAGTCCTACTCCTTTCCTGTGGTCCTCACTAGCTCTGAGAAGTCACCACCTTCAGACTGGGCCCACGTTACACAGAGGGTGCCCAGTATGTGGGAGGTGCCGGGACAGTGCTGGGGGGTTGGGGGGCCCTCTAGCCACCACCAATGTGCACCACCCAAATGTGTACCTGGGGTGCCCTAAGGGGTGCCTCTTGTCCCTCCCCCTGCCTCTAGAGCAGGGGTAAGGCTGGGCAGCCGTGGGCATGAGGATGCTGGTGACTGTATGACATCTGCGTGTCTGCCCCTCAGAACACATGGCGACACCCACCAACAAAGACACCACAGCAGACAGGGATAGAAACAACTAGTGTATTGATTCAAGGAGGAGAGAAGGGGTGCAGATGGGAAATGGGGAGGCAAGGGGATCCTTAGTGTTTGCCAAAAAGTACTGCCACATACCCTCCACCCCTTCACACCTTCCTCCTCTGGGGTAGGGCCCTGCAGGCTCTCACCCTTTCTAGTAAGCCTCCCTCTCCCTCCGCCTCTACACCCACTTGACTTTGGCCTCCAGTGACTGCGCAGACACCACCTGGCTCTAAAGCTGGGTGAAAGCAGGCTCAAACTAACCTTTCTTCCCCCTTCTTTTACCTTCCACCTCATCCCCATCTCTTGTCTACATAAAATACAGAAAAAGCAAGCGCAGCTGGTACCTGGGAGAATCAAGTCACCCCGGGGCTGGGGGCAGGAGTGGGACGGGGGTGGGCAGGCAGAGGAGCCTCAGTTAGGTACACTGCAAGGATGGGGGCCAGCCCAGGGGCCTGGCTCGGCCCTCTTCCCTTGGAGGGTGGCAGAGAAGACTCCACACCTGCCTCTCAGGCACCATATTCATGGGGTCCCGGGGTGGGGGCTGCAGCAGGGCAGAAAAGCAGAAACTCGGCTCTGTAAAAGCACCCCTACCCTTGGCTCCTGGAGGAGCCCTCTTTGGTTTAAGGCAGATACGGAGTTTCCTGGAAGCAGGGAAAATGAAGAGCAAATTGAGATAGAGGCCTTTTTTTTTTGCTTGTGTTTTTCCTTCAGTATCAAAACACTGTAGAAAATAACTTCTCTTAGAAAAAAAATACAGAAGAAAAAAATCAAAGGGGTATTTTCCTTTGGCTTCAAGCCCCCTCCCATGACGTGCAGGGAGGGGGTGGGCAAGAGGTGAGGAGAAAGCAGGAGTCCTGCGTCCCCACTTCTGCCTGGCAGGTCCCAGGTTACATGATGCTGCAGTTCTGGGGGTTCTAAGAGAGAAGAGAGAAGGAGAAACATGTGAGCTGCCTTGCCTGTCCCCCCACCCTGTCCCCTCCCCCGTCCCTCCCACCCCTCAGCCCTGCACCTGCCCTCCAGTCTGGGGCTCAGACAGGAGGGGCAGGGTGCAGGCATGGACTATCTAGGATCTTGGGTGGTGGTGGGGAGGCTCCCACTCCTCCGGGCTGCGGAAGAGAAGGCTCTCCCCCTCACAGGGCCACCTTGTCCTAACCCTCAAGGACCAGGGTCCTCTGCCTGTGGGGTTTGGAGGCAAAGGGACAACTCACCTGGGTTCGGGGACTGGAGTTGCCCAGGAGGTAGGAGCGGGTGACCAGGTTGTCCCCGAAGCTGCCACCCCCACTGCCCCCCACACTGCGGTAGCTGCGAGTGACTGTGACACTGGAGGCAGAAGAGCCAGAGGAGATGGATCCGCCCACCTGGGCTGCCGAGCTGCTGGCAGACGCCTTATCGGCAGGCTGCCCACAAGTCCCGCACAGCACCGTGCGAGAGCGCAGGTTGTACTCGGCTGGGTCCCCCGAGCTGCTGCAGTGAGATCCCTGAGGAGGGAGACAAGGCTCAGGCGGGACGGCGAGTCTGGGACTGACTGCTTAGGACTAGCACCCAGCTCCACACTCCTGCAGGCTCCCAGCCACCAGGCAGGTAGGTGGGGTTCTGTCCTCCAGGACCAGAGGGCAGGCAATAGGGCTTGGGGGGCTGGACTGAGAGGAACGGGAGGGAAGACATGAAAAGGGAGAAAGGTCAATCAGGAAGACTTGGGGACAAGGAACTAGGGTTGTGGTTTTAACTCTGTCCTGGCTACTCTAAGCTTAACAGGGAAAGGAGAGAGCGAGCAGCCTTGTGAGGGCAGCAGCCATGCAAAATACATTGGAGAGGGTGGGAATGAGAGAGAATGTTCTTGCAGGAAATTGGGGAAGAGAAGACATGCATGCAGCAGGAATGGGAGGGACAAGAAGGGAAATGCATGCAACAGGAATGGGAGGGAGAGAGGCAGGGCTGGCTGCCCCACATCTGTCCTCCCGTCCCCTCCCCAGGAGACAAACCCAGACCCTTGTCCACTGCTCCCATGGGAATACTCCGTGGCATCAAAGAGTCCCCACTCCCTTCCTTACCAGAGTAGGGCACCCAGACGCCTGGGTTCCCTGTTCAAGGTATAGGGAGGAGAGAGAAGAAAAGCCAGGGCAGCAAGTAAAGTTCCAAAATATTCTTTAATGAAAAGATTTTTGGCATGGAAAGGCCAGGGAGAGGCTGCCCCCAGGCCTGGCTGGGTGCCCCATGTGGGCTCAGCCTCAGCGGCGGCGGCTGCCACTCACGTGGTGGTGATGGATCAGGTCATCTCCATCCTCATCGTCGTCATCCTCAACCACAGTCACTGAGCGCACCAGCTTGCGCATGGCCACCTCCTGCCAGGGACCCGGGACCAAGTCAAGCGTTAGAGTCAGGGAAGGTCTGTGTGGCGTAACCACCCACAGTGAGCACCTAAACACCTTTCTCGTGGTCTGCCCTTGGTCTGGCTTGCTGCTGACTTGTCCTCCGTGGTGCTGGAGCTAAGGGCCTGGTCCCCACCCCAGAGGAACACTGCCAGACTGTCTGGGTGGGAGCGTGGCTCAATCTTCACTGCCTAACCTCCACCACTCGGGCTGCTGAGGTGCCATCTTTTGGTTTGCCCAGTGGGTGAAGAGTTTAGGGTCCAGGACTGCCCCACAGAGACAAAAGAAAGGTGGCCCTGAACAGGCTTCCTTGGGCTGGGGGCAGCCAGCTCCCATCTGACCCAGGGGAGCCTTGCCCAGGAAGAGGCCAGCCGGCAGCGTACTCACCTCCCCAGTGGAGTTGATGAGAGCCGTGCGCAGGCTATTCCCACAGCCCCAGGTGTTCTGCGCCTTCCATACCAAGTCAGTAGGGGGGCTATGGGTGGCCCCAGCTCCTGCAGCCCAGATCTGGAGAGGGAGGGTTAGAAAAGGGCACTCACTCCAGCGCACCGGTCCCCAGGCCAGCCAGCCCCACCCGAGAGTCCAAACACCCTGCCACTCACCGTCACCACCTGCCCAGCCTTTAGGGTGAACTTTGGTGGGAAGCGGTAGGTCAGCAAGGGATCATCTCCATTCTGGCGCTTGATCTGCCAGTTGCCCATGGACTGGTCCTGCCAGGGAGGAGAGGGATGGTGGGGGCTGCTTGTCCAGGCTCCTGGATTTATCTCGCTCAGGCAGGCGCAACTGGAGGCCTCTCCCTCCACCCCCCAACGCTGCCCTCCCCGTCGAGGGTAATAGTTGTGACCTGTGGGCACTTATGCTATGCTACACAATACTTGCACCTTCTCCACAACTCAAAGAGTTAGGGACCACTGTTCACTCCCATTTTACAGATGAAGACACTGATGCTCTGAGAGATTAAACAATGTGCCTAAGGCCTTACAGACAATGATGAGTCCTGCAGCCAGGACCAGAACTAGAGTGTGGGGGAGATACACACACTCACCGGGTCCACCTCTCCCCAAACTCCATCCCTTCACCTCCCTGTGTCTCCCTTACCCAGCTGTGTTCCCTCACACCGGCCCAGGCACCTACCTCATTGGACTTGTTGCGCAGCCGCACGAACTTGCCTTCCTCGTCCACCTCTTCCACAGCCACACGCCCGCTGGTGCGAGCATGCTGTGAGAAGCTGCTGCGGCTCTCAGCTGACTCCAGCTTGCGTTTCTTGGTGATGCTCCCCCCGCCCTGCGTCTGGGACGAGTGGGAGGAGGCACGGCCACGGCTTCGCTGCGAGCTGGGGCTGGGGGACAGGCGTAGCCTGGAGATGGGGAGACCAAGTGGGGGGCCTAGTCAAGGCCAGTCATGGGCCAGAGAGGCTTCGAGCACCTCCTGACATCTCCCCAACCCACCTCTCCTCCTCGCCCTCCAGGAGCTTGCGATAGGCGTGGATCTCCATGTCCAGTGCCAGCTTGATGTCCAGCAGCTCCTGGTACTCGTCCAGTTGCTGCTGCATCCTTGCTCGCATATCTGCCATCTCCCGCTCCTTCTCGGCCAGCAGCCGCCGGCTGGTGTCCCGCTCACGGGCAAGTGAATCCTCCAGGTCTCGCAGCTTTGCTTCTTTAGCTGCCAGCTGGGTGAGGAAGGTGGGGGGCTGGTGAGCTCCCAAGGACCCCAAGTGTGAGGAGGTAAGGGGTAGGGGACACCCAGCCACACTCCTTAGGATCTCCAGGCTCCTATAAGAAACTATCATGGGCCCTGGCTGGTATGGCTCAGCAGGTTGAGCACCAGCCCGTGAACCAAAGGGCTACCATTTGATTTCCTGTCAGGGCAAGTGCCTGGGTTGCAGGCCAGGTCCCAGTGAGGGTCACATGAAAGGCAACCACACATTGATGTTTCTCTCTCTCCCCTTCTTCCTCCCTTTCTCTATAAATAATTAAATAAAAATCTTTTTTTTTTTTTTTTTAAGAAGAAACTATCACGGGCTCTAACACGGCCTGGGCTGGTGACTCGGAAGTGGTTCCCAGTATCTAACTGAAATCTCTCATTCTGAGACTAGAACCTATTTCTTCCTGTCGCAGTGGCACAGCCACGAGAATAATAATGATGCTTTTAACACATCACACTGAGTCTCCTGGCAGATCTGTGAATTTGGGAAGATATGAATGATCTCCATTTTCAAATGGGAAACCGAGGCTCCAAGAAGTGAAGGTCCCATAGGTGCAATAAGAGGCAGTCCTAGCACAGCACACAGGTCATGTGACCCCGACGCCTAGGCCCTTTGTCAATCTGCAGTTCCCTTCCCTTCAGGAACCCCCCTGGACGTCTGCCCTACACCCCACCCAGACTGCTGGCTGCCAGGGAAAGACGGGAAGTGGGGCATCACCTGCTTCTGCAGCTGGCTGAGCTGGGCCGAGAAGCTGTCCAGGCGAATTCTAGATTGCTGCAGCTCCTCGTGGGCGGCCCCCACTAGGTTGCTGTTCCTCTCAGCTGACTGCCTGGCATTATCCAGCTGCAAGGGAGGACACGGGGTTAGGGCTACAAAGAATGGAAGGGAGGGAGGAGGAACCAGAGAAGGGTACCACTGCTGCAGCCGCAGGTCCTGGGCACCCCGAGCTCCTACCACCATCCCTCTGACCCCCTGCCCAGGTGAACAGTGGGCAGAGCAGGGCTGCTGGGGCAGAGGCAGCACCTTGGCAGAGTAGGTCTTCTCCAGCTCCTTCTTGTACTGTTCCACCTGCTCCTCATGTTGGGCCCGCAGCTCCTGCAGGGCATCTGCCAGCCGGCTCTCAAACTCCAGCTGCTTGCCATTATCAATCTCCACCAGCCGGGTCTCATGGCGGCGTTTGGTCTCACGCAGTTCCTGGAAGGATGGGACACAGAAACCAAAATCAGAACTAGGTCCTTAAGGCTAAGACCCAAGTGGCTGAGCTCCCTGCCCAGTCCTAAGCCTGTTAGCCATGGTTAGCCCCACTTTAACCTGGGAGCTGGATGCTGGCCACCCCTCCGCCCCCCATCCACTAGTACAAGGGAGTGAGGCAGGTGGACTCTACACACAGCTGGTCCTCCAGCCCCACGTCTGGTGTCTGCCACTGCCCACCCTGGTCCTCTCGTCTGCAGAGCACAATGCCCACCTCACTGTAGATGTTCTTCTGGAAGTCCAGCTCCTCCTTCAGGGTCTGCAGCCTGTTCTCAGCATCCACCCGCCGCAGCATCTCATCCTGAAGTTGCTTCTTGGCCTCACTTAGGGCTGCCTCAAGCTGAGAGGAAGGGGGCAGAGGTCAGGGAGAGGGTCATAGAACAGCAGAGCTGGAAGGAGGCTGAGAAGTGGGCTGCTCCCAGTGCATCCCTGTGTATGTGTGAAACAGGCCCAGGGCAGTGAGTGCCTTGAAGGCTCATGGAGGTAATAAAATCTCCTTACTCAGAGTAATGAGTAAAGAAATAAGAGATAGCCACTCCCCTCTCTGGCATAATACAGCAGCTGCTACAAAAGAAGTATGTCCAAAGTCTAGAGGGAGCATGAGTAAAGGAATCTAGGGGTGGTAGAAGACGGTCTGGGAAGGGCTCCGAGAGGCTGAGACATGAGGGACAGGTTAGCGGGACCCGAGGAGGGATGCTGCTGTGACTGCAGGACAGAGAAGGGCACGAGCACAGGCTCAGAGGGATGCAGGCCCACGTGCACTTCGGGATCTTCAGGAGGGTCCACGCTGCTGACGCCTAAAGGGTGGGGGCAGGGGTGGAAGGACAGCAGAGGTGGCTGGGCTCAGAGGCAGGGCCACGTCATGAAGACATGCGCCCTTACCTGCCACAGAAAGACCCTCTGAAGTTCAAGCAGGGAAGCGCCTTTCTTAGATTTTCATCTTAGAAAACACAGGCTGGTCTCAGGGCTGGGAAGGCCCAAGGGACAGAGTAAAGCTGGAGGCAGGAGACCTGGGAGGAGAACCACCTGGGCTCAGCTTTGTTGGGACTTGTTGGTACGTCCTGGTCCCTCCAAGGTGTATTGTGCCACCAGGGCCTGGAGGACAGAGAGTCCAGGACAGAATCTTGGTGACTGACTAGTCCTAGCTCTGCTCTGAACAGAAGAGGCTGTGGAACTGGGAACGCGCCAGCTTTTTAAATTCTCTTTGCTAGCTTGTGACATGAGAGATTAGAGGACAGAAGAGACAGCAAAGTGTTTTGGAAGTAAAGACCACCACATATACACGTCAATTGTTAAGAACATGTGTCCCACGTGTGATTAACCATCAGGGCCTAACGATGGGCTCTGTGGACGGTCTACGCCCCTCTCTTGTCCCCCAGAGGGGCTGCAGCTCTCTACAGGGAGGCCAAACAAGGAGAGGATCCAGGGCCGAGCAAAGGTCACTGAATCATTGAATGGTGATGGTTTGTGGATTATTTTAAATTCACCGCGCTAGATACCATGTGCGGCAAAGAATGCAATATGGTCTGGAGCGGTGAAATGCTGCTAGGAAGGCAACGGCTCTGTGGCTGGCAGACAAGTCAGACCAGGCACCTCCAGAGAGCAACTGGGGTGGAAGAGTGAGCGTGCATTTTTTTGAGGGGGGCAGGTACCGTGGGCAGGCCTCACCTTGGCCACCTGCCCCCGCAGGTCGTGCAGCTCGCCCTCCAGCGTGCGCTTCTCACTGAGCGCAGTGCTCAGGGCGGCCTCCTTGGAGTTGAGCAGCGCCTCCAGGTCCTTGAGGCGGGCCTGCGCAGCCATCAGGTCTCCTTCCTTCTTGGTGTTGCTAAGGAAGCAAGGGAAGAACGGGTTGAGAGGAGGAGTCTGTGTCCCTACGGAGAGCCGGGGTCCCCAGGGAGAAAGAGAAGTCACTTCTGTGGGGCGTGGCTCTGCTGTCCCTCCAAAAGCCAGGAGAGGGCACTCTGGGTTTTGGTTTGTTGGCGTCTGCCTGCCTCTGGGGCTGGACTCCCACTTCCCCCAAAGTCCCCCAAACCCCTTTCCTGCTTCTCCACCCTTCCTATGACTCAGTGCTCAGGAACGTGCTTGGGAGCAAGGGCAAAGCCCGATCCCGTGAGATGAATGCCTTGCCCTCTCTCCCTCCCATTCCTTCCCAAAGAGACAGGGCCACCTTTGTCTCCCGCCCCTTCCCACGCAGTGCCTTAACCTTCTCCTCCCGGACTCCACCCACCTTCCATTCAGCCAGTTCTCCCTCCTCTGGGACCCAGACAACCAGACTCCCAGCTCCTAGGTCTATGCATCCCTAATGTTTCTCAGTTTGAGCCCCACAGGTGTTGCTCACCTTCCCTAGTCCCTTTTACACTCGGGACTGTGGGGACAGAAAGTCTGGTCAGAGCTCAGGGAGACCTGGGTTGGTCTCCCAGACATGGTAGGAGCCCTCCCCTTTCTCAGATCCAGTCTGGGCCCCATGATCTGGGCAGAGCACGGGGCTCCAGGCTCCTCCTTCTGGGCCTCCGCAGAGCCTGAGAGAATGCTGATCCCTACCCATCAACCACAAGCCTCGGCATCTGGCTCCAGTCATGGCCCCAGGCCCATCTGGGCTCTAGCCTTGAACCACCCCACTCCTCAAATGGGGTAAAACTTTAGCTAGAACCAAGCAAACAGAGGTTGCCTCTGCCATTCCCTCCTCTTTTGGGGCCCCTGGTTATTTTTGCTGGCTAGTGAACTGGAGAAATAGAGGGGTCCTATTTTCTTAAAAACTTCTGGGGAATCCAAGAACTCTCCAGCTGTTACAATCCCTTCATCAGTGTCTGGTGAGAAAAAAGGATTAGGCCCAGGGGGTGAGGGAGAGTCAAAGGGCCTGGTCCCAGCTGCCATCTGCAACACATCAGCCCTTCAGTGCGAGCCCACTGCAGCAGATGGAAAAAAGGAAACAAATGTGGGCAGGGGACAACATTCTCTCCTGGAAAGGGAGAGAGGGGCCCTGCCAACATTTTCTCCCGCCGCAAAAGTATGAAGCTCCAAGAGCCCCAGCAATTCACTCTGAAGCAGAATGGAGAGGCCAGACAGAGGCAGAGTTCTCCTGCAACCTTAGCATATTTCAAACAGGAGTCACCGCCCCTTCGACGGGGCTCCCCTGGGAGGGGAGCAGGGTGCCGCTCAGACAGGCCCCGGAAGGACGGGAGCACCTGCGGCCTGCATGCCTGCTCCTGTCTGGCCTCCGGCCACACCTCAGAACAAACTGTTTAACGCAACGGTGTCTGTCTCCTGTGAAAGAAGCCCTTCCAGAACTAGAGGACGCCTCCCCTCCTCTGTCTCAGCCCAAAAATGCTAAAAATAAAGTCAAAACCCAGCTCAGGTTCTGGCTGCTATCTGGCCCTGCCCCTGGCTGGGAGCTCAGCCCCAACTTTCCATGACTTCACAACTTTTCCGAAGCTGAGGCAGCTGTAGGGGGAGGAGGGAGAAAGAAGAAAAACCGCTGGTAAAGTGAAGCAACGTGGCGGACATAGATTCCGAGAGCCTTGAACTGACTCCAAGGCTGGCGAGGGCTTCCCAGAAGTGGCCTCTCTGCCCTGCGGGCTAGCAGCAGCAGCAGCTGTACTGGGAGGCTCTCAGAATTGTAGAGAACTAGAAGGAGCTTAGAGCGGGGTCAGCTCAACCCTCTCCTTTTACAGATAAGGAAACTGAGGCACAGAGGCAGATCAAGGGCCCAGTGTCAAGCACTGCAGGCAGCAGCAGGGACGGGTCACAGGACTCCTCCTCCACCTCACGGCTTTCTAAGCCACAGGCCTAGAGCGGGTGGAGAGCTGGCAGAACGACCCAGACAGCCTGAGCCTGAGCTGGAAGGAGCAGGAATGAGCGATGCTTTCGGAAGACAGAGAAAGGGTGTCTCTTCCCTAGTCCTGCTCCTGGCTGCCTCAGACCCAGAGGAGGAGCTCCAGGAATTCCCCTTAGAAATGACCTTTCTGTGGCAGACACTGACCTAGGAAAACAGAGGTTCATGGTCCCTGCTCTCTGGCAGCTTACAGGGGAATGACTATAGGAACTTTCCCTTCAGTCTAATCTCTGTCTACTGCTCCCAAAAGTGGGGCAGTAATAGTAACAGCAATATGATAACAGCAGACACTTATACAGGGCTGATTAGGTACCAGGAGCTGCTCTAAATATTACACTGTTAACTCAATTGTCACAGCTTTCCTGCAAGATAGATGCTGTTACTAAGGGACTGAGGAAGCTGGGACACGGAGCGTGGAGTCCAGGTCCTGCCGCAGGTGTGTGCCCGGAGGCAGCAGTGCTGCTTCAACCCCAGCCGCAGTGTAGCGGCTCTAAAGGAACTAAGGGGGCTGTTTCCCTTGCCTCCTGGAGGCTTCGACTGTCGCCTGAAAGAGGCACCATTAAAGAACTAGGACACGCCCTGCAGACTGGGAAACCATGAGCAGAGAGGGAAGTGAGGAAGTGCCTCTGCGGTTTTCTCGACCAGGTTTGGGGAGCTCCCATCTGTGGGGAAGAAGCCACTATCACTCACGGCCCATGACTCAGACCTCGGAGCTCTGCGGCCAGGGAGCTGCACGCACTCCCCAAGACGGCTCTCCCACCTCCTCCCCAGGCTTGCCTGCTCGCCAGCCCCCAAAGCTACTTCCTAGCTAGTTGGGGTCTTCAGACCTAGCGCAGACCCCAGACACTGGCCAGGGGCTCAGCCCTGGAGCAGTGGTGCTGCCTGTGCCCCAGTGCACTGTGGGCTGGCAGTGGCATAACTGGGCACGTGCTGACTGCTGTCCCACACTGAGTTGGCAGGGGGACAGGGTGGGGCAGGCAAGGGTTGCTGGGAAGGGTGGGAACCAGGGGCTCTGCAGGTGACTCATCCTCAGGCAGACAATACCCGGGCAGGGGTCGGGAAATCCTCTAGTGCTCACAGGGGAGACCCTGGCTTTGCCTGCGTCCTGCCCCAGGCCCCGAGCCATGCCAGTGCAGGGGTGGCTCCTTCCTCTGCACCTGCCAGGTTCCTCAAGCACAGGAGTGGCTCCATCCCAGTAGCCTCATGAGGCAAGAAGGGGGGGCATCCTGTTGCTAACTTTTCCACCGCTGGTAAACCTGGTCTCTGCAGAAGGGAAGAGAGTGGGGTAGAGAGAAGGACAGCGCAGCAATGAGAAGAAAAGGTAGAAAGGGTGGCAGGAAGCTGGCTCCTGGCCCAAGGCTGGGGGCCTGCTGGGCTGAGGCTGGCCAGGGGCGGAAGCCCAGATCCAGACCTGTCTGTGGATCGGGGCTCTGAGACTGCTTTTGGGGAAGAAAGGCGCCCAGCGCAGCAAAGGGGCTGGTGGGCACAGGGCCAGTCACCCGCTGAGTCACCCTCCTCAGACCAGCGTGGATGCCAGATATGGAAGCCAGGGCCTGCCACAGGCCAGTTTGGGCCTGGTTGCTGGGAGCAACTTGCCAGGCCCTGAGGGAGGGCCCCCATTTCCTCCCCCGGGCTGAGGAAGAGACATGGGCAGCAGAGACAAGGGCTGGGGCTAAAATAAGAAGAGGGAGGGGAAGATGGTCAAGAGGGCTCCCTCAGACCCGCCCCAGGCCCCTTGAAGGCCACTCTTCAGCCCCTCAGCCTCACCAGCCTATGGAGTTCCCCATAGTCGAACAAATGGAGACCTGGAGCAGTGGGGAAGGGAGGGGAGGGGTAGGAGAGTGAAGGTCCCCTGGGCATTTCCTGCCTGGCAGGAAAGGGCGCCCCCTGTGGCTGGGCAGAGCTGCCAGGCAGGGGGTCCTGGTTTGGGAACAGCTCTCTCCTGTCCTCCCAGGTGTCTAGATCTCCAGCCTGGCTGACTTCCTGCCTGGTGATGGGACAGCTCCTAGGGCCACCCCAAGCCTGCCAGCCTGTTCCTACCACTCCCCACTTTGTTCCAGCAACTCCTCCCACTGCAGCATATCCCTCTTCCCATCCTCCCTCCACCTACCCAAATCCACCCCTAACCTCCAGCCACCTCAGCCTTGCCCTTGGGGCTGAGGCCCCAGCCCCACCCCCCTCCTCCTCCCAAAAGTGTTCAGCTGTTGTTTTACCTGCTGGTTTATTCTCTTTCCACCTACACTGCGTCTCTGGGGCTTTTTCTGTATGCCCCCTGATGCCCTGACACTGGGAGGTTCATATGCTCAAGGCTTCTAGAGGGACCTTCTCCTGGACCAACTCACACTTTTATAGATGGAAAAACTAAGGTCTGGAGAAGGGCAGTCTCAGACAAGAAAAAAAAAACCCCTGCCCACCCGGTCACCTGAGGATAATAACAGGAGACAGGACAGAATACAGACAGTGGTATGATGCATGCAGGGGGCACAGAGCATGGCAGAGACACGCAGGGAGAGAGCCTGGGAGACGCTCCAGTCAGAGAGGGAGACAGAGGCCTAGTAAACTGGCCGTCAAGTGTCACACACTTCCACAACTGTGTGCAAAGCCACGAGGTTTGACATCCTCCACCTTCAAAGGGCAGCTCTGCTCGGTTTCCCGGCTGGCCTGTGGGTCTGGCCTCACTTCCAGGTAACGGCAGGGTGTGGGTGGGACATCAGGCTTCCCCACTCTAGCCTTCAAGGCACCATCCCTCTCTGCAGAGGAGACCGTAAAGAGAGGAACGGAGGGGGAAGGTGTTCCAGGGGTGTAGAAGCCCCTAGAGGCTTCCTCAAACTCCAACTTGTGGGTTCCAAGTGGCTCACACCCAGAAAGCATATGGTAGGCCCTCCAGGATGAACCTCCCACTCCTGACCTCCCCACACAGGCACATGCACCCACAGCAGGCACAGCTCTGCTTCCACATGCCTCTCCCCTGGGTGTGACGCTGCCACACATGC